TTTTAAGTTTTGTTTTGTTTTTTCTAGTAGAAGTATCCCAGTTCAGTGCAATGGCACATGAAAAGCTGGATTTGGAAGTTTTGGAGGAGGTCGAAAGTGAATCTTAGGTGACTTGTGCATGGATGATGATGTGCTACTTTTCAGGTGAAATTATAGTTGCTGCATAACTCATCAATAACATCTACAGAAAAGGAAAGCTAAGCACATGTGCTGTCAGTATGAGGTGTGTGCATGGAATTTGCAGTTGTCATGTGTAAAGGCTGCCTTGAATGTGACAGTTGAAGCAAAAATTACTTCTGTGGTAGATTTTCATTTGTGTTTACACTGTCATTCACATAGATTTTTATTTCTGATGTAATCTTTTAGGTTTGTAAGCAAATAAATAGTTGATGTGAAAATGTTGAAGTCTATTCTCAGGACTCATTACATATTTGATATTTTATTTTATGAATATCTTATTTTCCTGCTAAGTGCACATTATACAATATGATAAGAAGCTCCCGACAAAAGAGGAAGAGAGGTGATAAGAATAGCTTGCCACACAGGAAAGGAAAGCTAAGCACACAAGATGTCAGTATAAGTGAGACATGTGCACGGATCATGCAGTTTTCATGTGTGAAGATTGCCTTGGGCATGACAATGGAAGCAAAGATTATTTTGTTGTAGAGCTTTATTGGCATTTTCATTGTAGTTTATATAGGAATTTATTTCTGATGTTATCTTTTAGGTTTTGTAAGCAAGTACACAGCTGATGTGAAAATGATGTTTATTCTTAAATGTGCAATATATATTAAAAATGTAATACATTATTTTATTGATATTTTATGTTCCTGTTAACTACACATTGCATAATATAATAAGAACCTCCTAACAAAGCAGCAAGACCAGCAAGATGTCAAGTATATCCTGCACAAAGGCCAGGAATGAAAAACACATGTGCTGTCAGTGTAAGCAACACATGTGGATGGAATGTGCTGTTGTCATGTGTGAAAACTGCTTTACATATGATCATGGAAATAAAGATTACTTTTTTGTAGAGGTCTATTGGTATTTTTATTGTAGTTCATATAGGAATTTATTTCTGTTTTTATTTTTAGACTTTATACACCAAAAGAAAGAGATATTGAAAATTTTGATGCTCTTTTATACACAAGAAATATTAAAAATTCAACACTTTTTGATATTTTTCCTGTTATATATTCAGTGTTTTTAATATAATAAAGCTCTAAAATTAATATTCATCACTGTCAATGAGTCTTTGATTGATAAGCATTGCGTGTCTATATCAGTTTTCATGAGAAACCACTTTGAAGATATCAATATGTAACACAACAAACATTGTTAATTCCCTACCACTTTGTTTGTAACTCCATACTGTCTGTACTGTTCCTTTGCTATTTTGTAAAATGTTGTCTGTCTGTTAATATTTTCCTCCTTTTATTTTTAAAATAAAAAAGTAAAAATAAAAAATAAAATTAATATTCATCTGTAGAAATATTCTAAAGAATAAATGTGGCTATTATACACCCACAACAATGAGCCCTATGGCAAAATTGGTGTTATGCCCCACAGGTTAGGATGGTTGAGCACTTGAGAAGTAAGTCCCTTCCTACGTTAGATAATGAAGGGGGCTAGTACTTCTCAAGTTATTTCAAACCTATAGATCTGAAACTTGCACATCTTTTCTGGCACCCTGGAGAATTTAATCCAGAGATGATTTAAAAGATGTCTATGAAGACACGTTGCATTGCAGGGGCAGTATGGGATCAATAGCCATTTCAAGAAGAAAACATTATATGTAATTCAACCACCATTGTTAATTCCCTACCACTTTGTTTGTAACTCTGTATTGTCTGTATTGTGCTTGTGATATGTTGTAAAATGTTGTGTGTCTGTTAATGTTTCCCTCCTTTTATCTTTAAAATAAAAAAAAGAAGAAAACATTATTATGAATTGCATTTCTGCTACCTAAATTATCTAAGAAATGAAAGTTCCACCTTAGAAAATAAAAAAGTAAATGTTAAGAATAACTAGTGAGTGCAAAGAAAGAACAGCAACCCAGTCTTTGCTTACTAGATTAATATAGAAGTTTAAAAACCAAGAACAATCAGAGTCAATGAGGGTAAGGCATTCCACACTTTGCTCTTTTGAGTATGAGTTGCTGCAAATTGGAGAAAATGACCTAGAAATGTATATTAAAATATAAAATCTGCATACTTTGTAACTAACAAAGCCACTTTGGGAATGCTCTCCCATTTTAACTAGAAACACAGGTATCTGAGATAAATGTATGAAAAGATGTTTGCTACAACGTTGTTTGTCACAGTAAAACACTAAGAAAAAATTGAATGTTTATAATAATGGATAATGAATAAAATACTATTAACTGTTTTACAAAACATGAATTAGATGTTAATGTTGGTACTGGAGAGATGTCTTTTAATAGATAAAAAGTTAGAGAATAATACTAAGAACATGGCCCCTTTTCTGTAAAAACAAATAACAGCAACAAAAACATTTATGCATGAGTATTTGTATGTTTTTATAAATTTGACACTTTTAATACCCATTACCTCAAACTGCCAACATTAAAAGTGATTTAAAGTAGAATTTAAGCCTCCATATTCTGTATTAGTTCCCTCAGAAATCACTCCACACAAACATAAAAGCAGGAAGAATGTCATTTATTTCTTTCTTATCACTACACCCCACCAGTTCACAATGCTAAACATTTTTACATGGAAATTCTGAAGATATCACAGTTTCAAGAAAGGGAATTGAAAGTACTTCATATATAATGAAAGTTCTACTGAGTGCTTTTTGATTAAACTTTTTGAAAGTTTTAAAAGTTCACCTTACTTCTTGGAATTTAAAATGAAATCCTAAAACACTTTAAGTATTTAAGCAGGTAGATTTGAAAGGTTTTATTTGGAAAAAAAATTAGTATAATTGCAAAAATAATAAAAATGTTCTTTTCTCATCAGTTTTTCAGTTTATATTCTGTTATTATTTTCTGGTAGTTTTGTCTCAAAACTCTTGCCAAAGCCTACACAAGGCATAGTCAGCTCCGTCAGGATTAACAAGGGTCACAGCACATCCTCAAATCATTCCCCAGTCACTGTTTCCCCCTTAACCCTTCTCTTCCTAGCTTGTGTTCTAGCACTGGCCTTCATATTTACATTCCATTTTTTTTTCATATAAAAATTTTAGCCACAAATATAATGACAAACAAGAGCTTTTTTAGTTTCCCAGGGCTTAGGACAAACTTGCACAAGCTGTTGGTCTTTCATTCCCGTGAACATTTCTCCTCATACCCCAAAATATCTGCCATGGAATAACGTTTTCTGTGAGAGTATAGGTAAATTAGGCTTCACATCTCACACAGTAGAAAATTTAGAAGATTTATGCATAACAGTAGCTTGTGCATACTTCCTTTCTATCAACATGTACTGTCATGTGTGCTTATGTGACAACATTCCTGTAAGTCTAAGCTTCCAGAAGGCAGGAAACAGGTCTTTTATTTCATTATGTCCAGTGTCTAGTACAGGGCTTGATACAACATGTGTTAGTAATTTTCCATTGGCTAAAGAAAAGTACAAATAATTGGATCTCTTTTAAATCAAAGAATTTATAAAATTACTAAACTTGCAAATTCTGGTTTATCTCATGTGATACCACATCAGAAATTATAATGATAATCAGATAAGACAACAAGGGAAAATAATTTATTCATTGTCAAGTATTATGGCAGTGAAGACTCCATTGACATTATTGCTGAAATGGGTGAGCTCTTTTAAAAAATGAGAAAATATTACTCATTAAAAGTCTCACAAGTCCACTATCAGGTGGATCCAGGGGCTCAGAAACATGAATTTGAGGGTTCACATATTCAATTACACAATGTCAAAATATGGAGCTTGGTGAATTAACTTTGAGTTTATAAACCTTTACAAATTTAGTTTTGAGTCGACTGTGTTTGAGTTTTGTCTTGTTCCTTCAAGTTGCTTTTGTATCATTATAATCAGACATTTTAGTTACATTTCCAGCAGACCTCAAAAAGATTGAAAATCAAGTACTTCAGAAGAATTTGTGTAAATAATAAATAGTTTTAATATTACATTAAAATACACATCATAGTTTGCATTTACTTAGGTTGTTTTTTCTAACTCTAGTGACTTCCAGTTTCTGAAAAATTTTCTACCAGGGGTAGAAATAAGGAGAGTTGTGTGACAATGGAATGCAGCTGTGGCTGTGTCTAAATTTACACAGTGACCAGATCCTTCCTTTCCTTTGGTTTAGTTTATTTTTCTAAATTTCAAGGAAGTAAACTTCTAAGATCACTTCCTTATCTAGCATCTTTATATGCTATAATATGATTCTATTGCTTCCCAATTATAATTCTACTTCAAGCTGAAAAGAAAAAAGCAGCCTTAATTCTGCTGTCTTGTGTTGACAAGATATGAAATGTTCTTACAAAAATATTCGTATGATGGCCTTCACAAGTGCAAGCTAGAGTGATTATTGACATCAGTCGATTCATTCAAATTAAGTCATGCCAAGCTTTTACCTGGTTTTGTTTAAACAAATACTAAAAAGTCTTGGGGAAATCGCATGCAAACGTTATGACCATTCACGTGGCTTTCCCTTTCACCAGCTTTACCTATCCATTTGAAAATCAAACGCTTTCAAAGTATGTTGTTGTGCTATCACACTCCGGAATAAGATTCACCCTGAACTAGGAGAATGTGAGGGAGATGAGCCTTTGTTTTCAGCATCAAATTTCTAAGCAAGAGATCTCCCACCACCTGCTGCTTCCTACACTCCAAAACTCCTGCCCGGCTAGATTTCCTGAGAAGACAGCAGAAAACTAGGAGGGAGGGGAAAGGTGGGTGAGAACAAGGGGCGGGGAGTGAAGCGTGGAAGGCAGGAGGAGGCGTGGCCGGCTTGGGGCCGTCCGGATAAATACGGAGAACTGGGTGCGGGGTGCAGAGAACTCGAGGATCGCCGGAGCAGAGCAGCACCGAGGACAGCGCCCGGCAGCGCCGCGCCCAGGTCTTCGTCCTCCTCCGCCCGGACACCCGCACGGACCCACACACACACTCGCACACTCGCACACTCACACACGCAGACACACGCCTCGCTGTACAATGGCAGAATCCCACCTGCAGTCATCCCTGATCACAGCCAAACAGTTTTTCGAGATCTGGCTTCATTTCGACTCTGACGGTGATTATCTTGTTTTTAACCGATTCAAGACAGCCTTCCCCTTCCCTCTTGTGGACATCCCCTGAGCCACCCGATCCCGCTGTCATCCTTTCCTGTTCTTTACTTTTCCCCCTACTCTGCCTAATCCTATCTCTCCGACCGGCTGCCCAACCTTCACCCTGAAAGTTTATATTGCTTGCATGTAGCCCCCGAACCGTTCACTTGCGTCCTTCTAGGAACGGTAATGGTAGGACAGAGAGACCAGGGGTTGGGGAACCCTGCTCCCCAAAAGTTTCTGTGGCTGTGACCATCCCCTTTGTCCTCAGTGCGGCTAAAGTTTGACGCCCCGGCAGGGGAGCGCTGCATGGCTCTACCTTCGCTGCTTAATCCATGCGGAAGCCGGAGAGAGCCTCTCGGGTAGCCGGAAAGGTAGCGCTCCTGGAAAGGGAGCGGAGAAGGAGCTGGGAATGAGATATCTGACACCTGGGTGCCTCTTTGTCTTTGCAGGAAGTGGTTACCTGGAAGGAAAGGAGCTGCAGAACTTGATCCAGGAGCTCCTGCAGGCGCGAAAGAAAGCTGGATTGGTAGGTTCAAGTCTGTGGAGAGGTAGACAGAGCTTCAACCTTTAAACATAAACATGCATGTGTTTTCATAAAGGGCCAGCGAGACCAAGGGCTTTTGCAGGGAATGTAAACGTTTATTAACTGAAAAAGAACACCTTGCATCTTTCCAAATTGCATAGTGAGGAAAAAGAGGGTGGATGAACGAGAGAGAGAGAGAGAGAGAGAGAGAGAGAGAGAGAGAGAGAGAGAGAGAGAGAGAATATGAATGAGGTTTTCTAAAGGGGAAAACCTAACCCTCTTAAATCAGAATTTTAAACATAACAGATAGAAAATAGTAGACATAGATAGATAGGTAGGTAGGTTGATAGATAGATAGATAGATAACTTTGTGTTTGCTTTAATAGGTCTTGAAAGTGTGGATAGACAAAACACTTAACAGGTCACCACCTCTACCACTTGGGTTTGGTTAGGTAATTTTTAACTTCTCTTTTACTGCCATGAGAATTAAGGGGGTAGAAATACATTTCTGCCCCTTGGTGGTCAGGAAACAGATCTGCAGATTATGAACCTCTATTCTGCTGCCAATTTTTGCTGTGGAGCTGTTGTAGTCAGGGAGATGAAAAAGCCTCCTGTCTTGACCCTCCTCACTGATGATAGTTGGCCAATTCGTCACCTAATAATGAGCAAGAATTTGGCAAGAAAGGTTTTCATTTCTGTAGTAGGAGAAACCCCAAAAGTTAGAAAAGCAAGAAATTTTAAGAATTCTGTGTATTGTAAAAAAAAAAAAAAAAAAAAAAATCCTGGTGGGAAACAATTGATATTTTTAAAATAAGCTGTTTGTGGTTTAAGCCATTAAGGATTGAACATATTACAATTCTTATAGCTTTCAGAAAAGATACAAGGCTGCAAATAAAATGTCAGTGTTTAAGCATATGTGATGGATATGCAGGGGCAAATGAGTTAAAATTTTACCAGTCTGTTAGGATTTATGTAAGTCTGTCTTTCAGAAAGGAATGTTGGATTTGGGCTAGCTAGATGTTAAAGATCTTTAACTCTTTGAACTATGATTAGAAAGAAATTTTTACCTTAAGAATTAAATACTTGTCATCTAGGTATATTATATAGCAGATGACCACAGCTAGTATTGAGTTGTATACGTATTTTTACTAGTAAAATTATTTTTGTTCTATCTACATTGAAGATTATATTGTACACATCTCTGTGCAATATTTTCAAAAGAATCCCAGAGGACTCCAGACTCTAACTGTATTAAAATGCATTACAGAACTATCAGTTGCTGAAATCACTGGTCAAATTCATTTTAAACTAAATCATTCTCTAGGGATTGTTTTACCCTGATTTAATATAATATAAATCTAAAAGTATAATAGAATGAAATCAAATAAATGTCTTACACACTCTCCACCTTCCTCTCACCTTATGTATCACTGTGTAAATAAATTTATGCAATACTATCTTTTTAGCTCTAGGGATCTTTGGCTAATAAAGCCAATGAAATGATCTTCCTGATTTAAAAACATACATTTAAAATTCTGGTTGGAAAGTCTTATGGAAGTTGCTTTGAGCAACTAAATGATTATATTCTAATTTTTCCAGAAGTAATTTTAATGTTAAATTCATTTTTATCTTGGGATTCAAATATTAATGAATTCTATACATTTTTTCTCTCCCATTTTAATATTTGTACCTTTTTGTAAACAATGTGTTCACTTTGGAGTTTTAAAGAGTTCAGAGCTTGATTATTTCTTATACTGCCTAGCCTCCAATTTTGAACTATATAAAGCTCCAATTATTAGATTAGAATTCAATAATACTCAACTTGAGCACAAGTATAAGATTGTATCAAGTGATTCAACATCTTCATACTTGAGGATTTGCTGAGTTATATGGGTGGGCTTCGAATACTTAAAAATCTAAGTCAAAAAAAATCTAAGTCAAGATCTAGATTGAGAGGGTCATATATTGGACACATGTTTCATAATACTACCCAGCCCACTGCAATTACCCTACTTTTTACATATTCTCTTTTGTGAAAAAATGAATATTCACCTTATAAACCAGACTTCTTTGTATTTCTTGCCAGAGTGTAACACATTTTGTTGCATTAATGGAAATGCCAGTTTGGCATAATATTAATAATGTGAAATTTCAAAAATTTCACCAAGTGAAACATCAGTGAATGTAACATCAGTGAGCTATGACACCCCTATATACTTCTGAAACCAGAACCATTTTACACTAAACATAATGTTTTATCTTTAAATTTGCATTGGTTTTTATTAGTCTTTGATGACAATTATGTCTTGAACTGCTTAAAAAGCAGATTTTGATGCAACTGTAACCCAGAAACTTCACAAAATATATATCGTCTGTTAGTTAAACGAGTCATATTACACAGTTTTAAGATTTAAGACTTAATGTTTGGTTTTTCATTTACTTTAAGGTATGTAAAAAATAAAAGGATTCATCCCCACTGTTGGTACAGAATTGACACTTTTGTTTTCTTATAACTGTTCCTGTATCAAAATTTAATAAATGCAAATTGCAATCTGTTCACAGAAGAATTGAAAACTATTATATAATTATATTGCTTTATTGCTATTTATCACATTATTTCAACTAGAGATGTCTACTTTGATTTCAAAAGGATTTTATAAATACTAGTAGTAGTAATATTTAGCCTCAATATAGCCTTTCAATTACAACAACCTTCCTATCCCCAGAGCAAATGTGTGGTAGATAACTACCATTTTTTAGTCATGATGAAAATTGAGACCTTAATTTACATTCCCAAGGACATAGCGTAGGATATTAGTGAGGGCTGACCTATTTTAAATAGGCTTCAGTTCATGCAACAGGGCTATTTTAAATAGGCTCTGCTTAAGGCCCAAGTGTAAAAACTTAAACTTCCTGAATGCCAGATCTATGTTCAGATCACTAGTTTATAGTTCATAACTCTCTAACCTGGCAATGTGTAAGGAAATTATAGTATAACATATTGAGAAAAACAAGCCAAAAGAGAAGATAGCATTCACTTAGTCATCCCTAACAATGTTTTATTGTACTAAAATACATGGGAGAGAGAATATAATCCTGGAAGAAATGAATACAAGGCAACAGCAGGACACTACTTTGTATGGTACAGTGGCAGGCAAAGGTCGGAAGCATAATATCAGCGGTCTAAACTAGGATCATCAATATTGTGTATTTGTTAGTGAAAGTATAAATTAGTCATCAATTTTCATTGCTTATTTTTCGCAGGTATGTAATTTTAAAATTTATTTAATGAATGCCTGTTTTGTGCTGGAAATATTTCTTACTTAAAAAGTATGTTACTCTTCAGTATTTACATTCTTTGCTTGTCCAAACAAAAAATACATTTTACTAATTTCCATGGATAAACCTCGTATTGGAGTAATAAAAATGTTATAGGACAAGATAGTGTGATAATATAATGCATCCTTTAATGAAGAAAGTAATGTTTAAAGTATATTAACAGCCATCATATTTAAATTCACTAATGGTAATGAATTGAATAATTTTTACTATATTTTCCAAAAATAGCATAATCTGAAAACTACTAATAGATGAGAAATCATTGTGTTTGATTCCAAAATGATAAGCATAATCATAAATCTTTCATTTGAAACTAATAAATGCTGTATATTACATTATGACTTTAATTTCATGACAACAGGTCGTCATGCATAATTCTAAATGGTTTTAATTCTGACTTCTCTTTGCATTAATTTATTAAGACCATGACAAGTATAACTGGGTATTTTTCTTACAAACTTCTTTCCTGATTTTGTATAATTTTAGGAGTTATCACCTGAGATGAAAACTTTTGTGGATCAGTATGGGCAGAGGGAAGATGGAAAAATAGGTATTGTAGAGGTAAGGGACTTATGCATTTTTCTGATTTATTAAATGATACTCATTGTTTAAGTTGTACACAAGTGAAACATGATAGGGCAAGATTTGTAAAAGAGCTGTTTATTCCCTTATTCCTAGATTTCTAAACACTACTGGTATCTGAGATTCTATCTTTATCTCCGCAACCTATTACAGAAACTTAATGGAAAGTTTTTCCCAGAAAAATTAATAACATCATAATTTAAGGTATTTCAAATCACAAGCATAATTATGTTCTTCATATAATGTTCTCAGTGTATTAAAGTATCAAGTGTTCTGACTTTCAACAGCTTATACCTTTGATTCAGAGAACTAACCTGGTTTTTAAATAATTGATCTTATTAGGACACTTGTGATATTAGTGTGAAATACAATTATTTTTAAACAGCTACCACATGTAGAGTTAAGGGAGGGCATACTATTATTATCTTTGTAATTAAAATTTTTCCCTGGAGCATACGTTTTCCCCTCTGCCTAAGTGCAACTCATTACTATATAAATAGGTAATAGTAATGGGACTTGCAGATTGAGATAGAAGCCAACTAATCAAGATGTGAAATCATGAAGAATAATAAAATCACTTTAAAATGAATATAAATGATGTAAAGTAAATCCAATTCTTCAAAACAAGCTTGAAAATCTGACATCAGTGAAGGTTTAGATTGGCTACTTCAAAGTATGTATTTTCTAATTCTAGTAGCGGAAAGACTGTTACCTTGTATTTAACATATTTCACTCTTGAAGGACAACAGTGGGCCCCATTATTTATTCAGTTTCATTTCTTCAGTGATAGTAAGTTGTGTAGAAAAAAGCACAGATCATATTTGCACACATTTTACACTTTTCAAAGAACAAGGTAGATGAACATATTTTGAATCTAGGTTTTACTACATATGATATAGTTTAATCTTGTCTGACTTATTTGAAGTTTAACTTGAGTGAGAGGCTAGGTGTCACTTAGCAGATGATGTCTTGGAGGTTTAATGAAAGATGTTTATTTCCTCACAAGTCTGATGTGCTTGAGATAAGAAACTGTTATAGGGAAGAAAAGATTTTCTGTGTGAGGAAAAATAAATATGGTTAACAAAAGGGAGTAAAGAATGTAATGTATGTTGAAATGAAGAGCTGAGGAACTTTTATAGAAACAAGAATAAGAGTTTACATGTGTGTGACATTGTTACATTACATTACAATTATTACACGATTTATAAAGTGCTTTCAAATAAGTTATCTCTTTTGATTCTCATAACAACAAAATAAAGTAAGTCTAAATATAAAATGAGGGTCTATCCTGTAGTTGAGGAATCTGAAGTTTCGTAGAATTTGCCTGAGATCAAAGAAAGAGTAAAAACAAAGGTATATCTGTTAGGACACAGACGTGTTCCCCTAAATTACTGTGCCTATTTTTTTAAATAATTAGAAAATCTGCACACCATTAAAAGGAAAGATGCTCCAAGCTTCAGTTATTTGGTTACTTATGGCAAAGCTTTAAGGGGTAACTAGGGGTGCACAAAGTGAAGATGCTCCCACACTCACAATTGGGTTCCACTTTGATAAACCCATAAGTTGATGAACATCTCAAGTACAGTATGCATTAGTGCACCTGACCTACCGAGCACCATTGGTCAGCAGCACAGTGCTCTGTAGACCTTTGTTGAGTGCATGGCTCTCGGGGAGTGACAGGTCACTGTCACTGCCCAGTGTCACAAGAGAATATCCTACCATACATTACTAGCCCAGGAAAAGACCAAAACTCAAAATTCAAAGTACAATTTCTATTTAATGTGTACTGCTTTTTTGCATCATTTAAAGCCAAAAAATCTTAAATTGAGCCACCCTAAGCCAGAGACCTTCTATATAGAGCAATTATTTGGGCAAAGAATTTAAAACATGATTTGGAAAGAACTTTTCAGATCAGTTCAAGCTGGAAGAGTATGAAGGGAGGGAAGTGAGACAGGTGAGAATTGACTAAAGGTTTTAACGTTGTGGAACATGGAATTTTTTTGCTAAATGAGACCCTTGAGAAGAACTAGCCAAAATTCCTCATTTTAAGGGTAAAGAAACTGAGACCCAGAAAGACTGAATTATATGTTTGAAATCCCACCAGAAAGGAGTGCTATAACCTATATGCAGACTTAAATTTGATTTTGAGTCCAAAACTCTTTTTTTTATAAGCCAGAATATCATCTCCTACCACTTTTGTCTGTAACTCACTATTATTTGTCTATTTGTTTTCCTGAGAAACTATCTTGTAGGTAACAATATGTAAAACAACAACCACTGATAATTTCCTACCACTTTGTCTGTAACTCGGTAAGCCCGCCATTACTATGCTATCCTTTTTTTACTCTTTAAAATAATAAAAAAAAACATAAATTTTTAAAAATGGATTATCAGCCAAAATGTAAGAGGAAAGGGCCCATATCAGGCATTCACCAAAGAGCACTGAAGAATGCTAGAACGTGGAGAAGATTGCCACAGTAGTTCATATGCAAGTCATTCAGTCTATAGTGGTTAAGTAGGAGTTAAGAAAAAAACGGGCCTGAAAAATCACTGGGAAAAAGAAATTAAAAGTTACAATAGCATGTAGAAAATGAAGAAGGGAAAACTAGAGAATGTCTGAACCATAATGTACCCTCTGGTGTCACCAGAATGTTGTATTAAAAGTTCATTCTTTCTTTATCCAATGTGACATATGATATTACTTGCTTAGAAATCTTACATACTGGGGACACAAATCCTAGCCAGCAATGAAGGAACACAAAACCCCAGCTTTCCAAAAATTATAATCATCTCCTGCCTCACATTAAGCACAACATTATGTTGGTGTTCAAACAGAAAGTAAGTTAGATTTGCTAATACACTGTACCCACTTGATAGTTATACTCATGGACTCAAAATCTAATGAAAGCAAACTAATGTCCATGCGGTAGTCCACTTCCCTTATGCAACTGCCTATGTTGATTTAAAAGACCTGAAAATGCAATGAGTAATTTTTGAAGTTCTGATGTAATGAAGTTGACTGACATTTTCCAACAACATGCATTTGCTATCTAAAAACATACAAAAAGGAGAGTAATGTGCAGATATGAGTTCTTCTGGACTTAGTAATTTTATGCCTTTAAATAGACTTAAAAATTCATGCAAATATAGTTTGGTAATAACAAAGTTATTAATCTGAACTCAGAACAGGAGCATTGAAATTCTGAGATAATTTAACAAATATCATGGCAGTCAAAAATGTTCTAAATTTATGTAGACTAATAGCTCTATTGCAAAGAGGTCCAATTAAAATAATTAAATAGGAAGACTGACTGATTTATCAGGGAATGGAATTTTCTCCTCTAGGGCTTATATGAAGAACAGATCTCTCCTCTAGCTGGATGTCAATTTATAAGCTTTTCCTGGGTCCCTTGGGCAATGTGTGGGAACCTACTATCCTTTTTACTCTTAGTGTTTCTCTCTGTCCAGGTCAGTGCAGCCGCTGAAAAAATAGATCCAAAAGCTATTTTAATCCTAAAACTGTAACAACCCTCCCAGGGAAGCAGCCACTTCTCTAGATGTCTCTTTTTTTTCTTCCACAGTGGAACTTGAGCATCTGAGGTTAGCCAGGGTGGATGTAATTTTTCGTTATAGATGATTTGTCCACCTTAGAATTTGAGAAAATGCCAATAAAATCCCATTTTAAAATTTGATCTGTATAGATTTTCTAACTATGTCTTAGGGTAAATTTTTGATTGAAGATTTCAATGGGGAGTGATGAAGGTAAAGGTCAAGAATCTCAAAAATCAAGCGAGTCAGATTGTCTGATGTTTAATCTAACTCAAGCTACAAGATAAGTGAGGGCAGACTCTCTATGTTCTCTGGGCCTCATTTCCTTGGCTGTAAACAGGGGTGACTATTATCAACTTCCTATGGTTTTTATGAGTATTGACATCAAATGAGATAATACTTGGCAAACAAATATCCTGGCATATTATAAAAACTCAAATAAATGTTTTTGTTATTGTTATTAAATTTTAAAATAACTTACTGGGAAATTTACACTGTTCTGTGCCAAGACTTTTCTTCCCCTTCTTGTAGAGTCAAATTCAAATAATTAAATTCAAATAGCTTTAAATTTATGAGAAGATTATTTGCCTACCAAATTTCCCAGACTTGCTTCTCATTGGCTGGGAAAAATGTTTCTCTAATTCCCAAGTGAAAAAAGTGAATGCTTGGCTAATAGGTGCTCAAGAAGGCAAATATACACCACAGCTGTGGTTAAAAGTCAAAAATTATGCTTCAAGTATATTTACTTTAAAGTATTTTTCTGTCCTTTATATCTTTAGTGAAGTTACTGTTTGTGTACACACTTCTCACACCTAGTTCTTAGCTTTATCACTGTATCTATCTCCTGCTTTTTATCTTGCTTTTTATCATTAAAAAAAATGGTTTAAATCATCTCCCTGGTAGTGGCTGCAAATTGCCGGCCACCAACACCACCACCAACATACTGGCCTAGTAATTAGTAGTCATCTGAGGCATAGAAAGGAATTCCATTCAACTTCAAAATAAAATAAGTGCTTTTTCTGTAACTCTGTATTGTGTATATTGTTCTTATGCTGTTCTGTAAATGGATGTCTGATAATATGTTTTCCTTCTTTTATTCTTAAAATAAATTCTTAAAAAATAAGATAAGTGCTCTATATTATATGAAAATAAGAGAGATGGAGGGAGCAACCCTGTCAAGGTGGAGTTCCCTGGGAAGCTGATCAGAGGGGCAGCATGGCACTTAGGAGGAGTATTAGAATCAATTCCTGTGGAAGAGAAGTGAAGAGAATAGAACTTGGGCAAAGAAAGTCGCTAGCCTGTGACCCAGTTGACCCTACAGTGAGCTCTGAAGTTGGGTGAGCTTTCAGAGATTTCCCAAGTTTTCAGCAAGAGGGATGGGCCTCTATATTCACACGTGGATTAGGCACAGGCTGCAGCCTTATTGGAAACATAGCTGTCTTCAAGCCGTACAGTCCCTCACGGGGTCCTGGCAACTGGGTCCTCAGCAACATTCTCAGAATCTGAAGAGAGCTCTGGGTAGCACATCACAATGTCCACTCCAGCCCTTCCCCACAGCCCAGTAAGAAGTTATTTGAATTGTATACAATGAAATCTTACTGCCACTTATTTACAGTCTATGATGACTCTTGACAAATAGTCAACTTCTTCATTTCATTGCATGCGTAAAATGTGTACTGAAATTTGTGCAGTTGCTGGGAGAATAAATGAGCAAAACATGGGCTTTTTCTCAAGGAGATAAGCAAGTGGAAAGAAAATTTGCTTCCTTATTGTTAACAGCAAGCAACTAATTCTCATAAGTGAAGATCTAAGGGATTCTGCTTGTGTCCACAGCTATGTGCTTTCCACTGACCTCCTTGAGTGGAAACCCTACTCTCTTGAAACCCATAAAATTTTAGGAGTTCATAAAAGAGCAGGCAGAGAGTCAAAGGATCTTGGAACAGTACTTGGTATTTTTCTGGATAGTCTGACTGAGAATAAAATAGCTCTACTTAACATCTTCTATAAGGGACCTTTGACATGTTGGAGACATACCCTTAGGTCGACAACTGGAGAATTACCATACCCAGATTGAAAATTTGAATATTGATTGATATACATTGACAGTAGGACCAAAAGACAACACAGGACCACCACACTGTGAAATACACCTTCAGATAGGATTTCTTTGTGTTCACTACAGCTCCACCCTATTCATTCATGTTTGTTGCTTTCCTTTAATGGCTAGTATTCTCATAATATTTTACAATATCCATTTCTAATGTTTGTAAGATAGAATGGTGTATGTGTTGAATAGAACAAGAACACTTCAATGAAACCAGAACAGAACAAATATATTGCATATAGATGCAATCAATATTTTAATTAAAAGTAATGCTAAAACAGCATAGGCAAAGAAATATACATTTACATTAGACATGAAAAGCAATTTGACTCCTGTATATTTGACATTCTAGAGACCTCTGGGATGCATGAGAGCTATGTAAACTTTGATTTATGAAATAATGATGGTTAAATTTCCTTAATTTTATATTTAGTCATTGATGACTACTTCATTTTTTTTCTGTTTATATATATTTGGTGTATTTTGGCAAGTACAACTTTTTAAGAAAAAAATATTCGGGGCTGGGGATTTAGCTCAGTGGCACAGTGCCTGCCTGGCAAGCACAAGGTCATGAGTTAGATTCCCAGTACTGGGGAAAAAAAA